CCCCTTTGTGTGTATTCTAAATCTGATCTTTTATTTCTGTAAAGTCTTAATCGTATTTTGTTCGTTCAGTTTGGTGGTTCAAGATGGTTCCATGACAAATTATATCAGACAAAGTGCCTCACGGATAAATGATCTCAGGACAAATGATCTCAGGACAAATGGTATCATGGACAATTGATCTCAGACAAAATATCTCAGACAAAATATAGCACGTCATAATGTTTATAGTTTTTGTTATGATTTTAGTCGATTTTAACATTTTAAACAATTGATTGTCATTCGGTTTCTATTTACATTTGTACACATAAAAATGGCGTGAATAGGTTTGTCATTATGGTTTGTCACGATACCGTAAACATATTAGAAAGGCAATTACAAATATAATATTTGTGGATCTAAACTGATGTCGATGGACAGTGTAGGTGGGCTTGCCGATCATAAGACAATCCTACCACATGAGGTGGGCGATACTAAATCAAAGAGGATCGCTTATCTATTGGTGAAAGGTCTATGAAAACACACCTACACACTAAGTGACCGCCCGTTTAGTTGGAGGAGACAGGCCCTTAGGGAGAAGATATCCGTTCTATGTGGTCTATACAACTGTCAGTCAATATATTATTTCAGTCACTCCTTGGTGATCATGTGACAAATGCTTATTTTAAGACAGTCGTCACGGCAAAGTTATTCGCAGTGTGTATGCAAACAAAACATTAAGAGTGATTACTCAGCTATGGCATCTTTTCGATTAAGAATTCAGGTTGAATTCAGGCAAGCCAAGAAATGTCAGCATAACGTTTGTGTTTATGATGCCATAAAAACACTGGTTTTACAGTAGGAATCTAAAGGCCCAATCACCCCTTGAAAACTTGTTTAAGTGTTTTAAACATCAATGTGGTTAAGGCTTCCATCATTTTAGTTTATTTTATGCTTTATAAGGTCTTATATTTAGTCTTTGCTGGTTTGTTAAGTTTGTTAACTTATTCATTTAATATATCTCGCAGTTTTGATGTGTAAAATGTAAATAAACCCAATATGACAATCAATTTAAAATATTTTAAAATCGACTAAAATCATCCTAACTAAATATATTGCCGTGAGATATTTTGTCCGTGAGATCATTTGTCTTGAGATCATTTTCCTTGGGATGTTTTGTCTACCATCATTTTCCTTAGATTATTTGTCACATCTCAAGTTCTAGATTTTTGTTCTAAGCACATCTCATGTTCTAGATTTTTGTTCTAAGCACATCTCATGTTCTAGATTTTTGTTCTAAGCACATCTCATGTTCTAGATTTTTGTTCTAAGCACATCTCATGTTCTAGATTTTTGTTTTAAGCACATCTCATGTTCTAGATTTTTGTTCTAAGCACATCTCATGTTCTAGATTTTTGTTCTAAGCACATCTCATGTTCTAGATTTTTGTTCTAAGCACATCTCATGTTCTAGATTTTTGTTCTAAGCACATCTCATGTTCTAGATATTTGTTCTAAGCACATCTCATGTTCTAGATTTTTGTTCTAAGCACATCTCATGTTCTAGATTTTTGTTCTAAGCACATCTCATGTTCTAGATTTTGTTCTAAGCACATCTCATGTTCTAGATTTTTGTTTTAAGCACATCTCATGTTCTAGATTTTTGTTCTAAGCACATCTCATGTTCTAGATTTTTGTTTTAAGCACATCTCATGTTCTAGATTTTTGTTCTAAGCACATCTCATGTTCTAGATTTTGTTCTAAGCACATCTCATGTTCTAGATTTTTGTTTTAAGCACATCTCATGTTCTAGATTTTTGTTCTAAGCACATCTCATGTTCTAGATTTTTGTTCTAAGCACATCTCATGTTCTAGATTTTGTTCTAGACCCATCACCTGTTTCCTGTAGACCCCCCCCCCCCCCAGCGGTCAATGAACTCACGAGCCAATCATGTCTTGACGAACCATCGACTCCACATCAAACCTTGTGCGCAGCGTTTATCTGCACGGTGAGATGATGACAAGATGGCGCTGAGATAATGCTGAGATAATGAAGAGGTCATGTATACAGCAGAGGACCCCTCCCATCAGGCGACCAGACGGCTTGATTCACTCGACCAGCGTCCAGACGCCCTCGCCATACCGCGAGAATAACGTGACGTCTCGTCGCGTTATCTTCGAGGGCTCTTTAAAACTAATGGCGGCTGGCGTCGATAGACTATGACGTCATCAAATGCCATTTAATCAAAGTTCTTGTGAAAACTGAAATGCTTGAATTGTGATTTTAAAAATGGGAAATAAAAATATTTTTAAAAAATCTATTTCTTGAAAGGATACAGTGTAACGCTGTTATGTAACGTGATGTAATAACCTCGCCCCTAATGGGAGGCAACTACTTCCATACATTCCACCGGAAGCGGTCGATTTTTTTTTCTACTTTATCGACATTATCAATCCTGGTTTATGTGGAAGTGTTTCCTTTAGTAAAAGTACAAAACAATTTTTCCAAAGCTCCTCCACTATTTGTCTCCCCCTGGCTGAGATCTGTATGCCAGCAGGGGGCGAGTCGAATGGTCAGCGCAGTGCCAGAAATAGCCGGACGTTTCCTCTGCTCGCTCTGGCCTCAGTTCCTCTCTGCGGGACGTGGATCAAGTTAATGTCATCTTTACGTCATTTTTTCAGAAATCTCGGTATTTTTTTTTTACCCCTCGCTCGTTTCTTTCGTGGATGTTTTCGTTTTCACACACAAACATGTTGTTTATACATATACTAGCCGTCCCGGCCAGGCCCTGCTCTGGCTTCTGTGAAAAACCTTTCTGTTAAAGACCATCACCTGTGTGTTTAGTAATCATCATAAACCCGGCATTGCCCACCCAAACCACAACCAACCAAAACAACAAAACGCAAACATAACGCTAACACAATTACAAATACAAACGAAAACAAAAACCTAACAACAAACCCAACCACAACCACAAACACCAATACAAACACAAAGAAAAAACAAACAAAAAAGCAAACGAAAACAAAAACCTAACAACAAACCCAACCACAAACACCAATACCAACAAAAAAAAACGAAAAAGCAAACGAAAACAAACCAAATCCAAACGCAAAACCAACCAAAAACACAAATACAAACCCAAACAAAAAAACACAAACAAAAACGAACCAAATCAAAACGCAACCACTAACGCAAACCCACCTAAACACAAAGAAAACACTAACGCGAACATAAACGCCCGGGGCGGAATCACCTGTTTTAGCTTAATGAACAACTATAGTACCCCAACTTATTCATAGTCTTTTGCACTCACTTAAACGAACGCGCCTGTTTCAATTTGATGAACAATTATAATACTCCAAGCTTATCCGTAAAATACCTACAACATTTGCACTTGATCAATCCCCGCTAATTATGTAATTATTTTTTTTCCCAACACCAAAACAAAGTAATTAAAAAGTAAATTATTTTCCACAAAATGCAATGGTTTTATAAAGGGAAGTTATTGTGTTTTCCTAATTTATCAAAGGGAAGTAAGTGCTATAGGACTAAATAAAGACATAATTAGAATTTTTGTAAAAGATGATATTTTTTTAAACTTGTGTTTAATGAAAATGCCGACAATTATTACTATAATTTGAAAAATGAAAATTATTTCCCAACACTTTCAATAGTAATTTTTTAACTCATAAATTTAGACAAATGCGCACGATAATTGTCTAACACTTAAATCCATTCAAGACCAACGACAAACATATGCGTTACATACAGAACTGAGCTTTATATATTAGATACAGACATAGCATCCCCACACACATTCTTACACTCCCACACACACACACACACACACACACACCCACTATCCGATTATTACGCATAAAAAATACTTTTCATACACGCACCCAAACGAACTATAACTGATAACATGTTAAAAATTGCACATACTAAATGTTTATTTCTCTACGCAAAAACTTATCCTCGTGTGAGTTTCAGAGAAAGCACACATTTAAAATGTATGTAGGAAGAAAATCGGCTAATCTTGTATATGATAAATCTTGGGGTTAAGTGTCTTAGTTACATGTGAAAAAAGCTTTTTATATTTGCATAAAGGATTGCTAGAATTAATATAGAATCAATAAGATGCGAATACGATATAAATGTATTGTGTATGTAAATGTTCTAATAATTACAATAATCGGGCAGTGTTTACAATAATTGATGATAAAAGTGTGGTAACTGTGTGAATGGTGTGTTAATGTTTGCTATAGGTGGATGTTATCCAAGACCTACTTACCTAATATAAGTACAGTTACCCCCCCCCCCTCTCGCCCATGTTATGCCAGACCTATCACCCTCCCTCCCGCATGCTAGTGGACATCTGATGACCTAACGAGCCTGGGATTGATGAAGGAAAGGTCAAGGTTGGGTGATACAGTTAGAGCTGGCTTGATGTTTTATTTACATCCTGTGTTGACAGAGTTATCGGACCTGATAACATTTGGGTCTTAGATGAACTAATCAAAGATGCTTCAAATCACAGTTGTAGCTGGTTTTATACCGCTACAATTTTTTATAAATATATATATATATATATATATATATATATATATATATATATATATATATATATATATATATATATATATATATATATATATAACATTATACCCTAAATGCTCGAAGGAAAGCAATGACGCATTTACAAGCCCAATTTTCCATCTTACCCTAGCACTAAACCTCTATGTTAATTATAACTACCTAAGTGTTGGGTAATAGGTTAAATGGTTAAAGATTGTATTTTTTTTTTCAATTTATTTTGTTTTGTTGGATTTTTTTCGTCTTTGTGTTACGCACTTGTTACTCAACCTCTGTTCCCTCTCAATTTCAAGAGGACGTACAGACCCCCAACAGCACCCCCATCATGCCCCCCATCATGCCCCCCCCCCCCCCCATCATGTCTCCCACCCCTCTAACGTTCCCCTCCTCTCCCCAGTACTGGAGGACGTACAGACCACCAACAGCACCCCCATCAAGACCTGCAAGTTTCGCCTGGACAGGTCCAGCTACACCACCCTGTACATGATCGACCTCATCCTCTTCTACGTCATCCCTCTCATCATCGCTACCGTCCTCTACCTCCTCATCGGAAGGATTTTATACCTCAGCAAGTCTATACGCAAGAACGACAGACTCCCAAAGCACAGGTCGCCCAAACGGAGGGCCGACTCTAGAGTCCAGGTAGGTCAAGGTCACTCTTATCTTAACTCGTGTGTTACTCGCTTGTTTTACAGGTGATGAAAGGAGGTCGGTTAATATTACGTAACTGATGCCACTGCTTGAACCACCCCCCATAGGCAACCAACTTTCTCAGCCGACCCAGTTTTTAGCCAAACTCTACGGGGTGACCCAGCTTTAAACAGTGCCTGACTCTCGACTCAGCTTTAAAAAGTGCCTGACTCTCTGAGTCGACTCAGCCTTAAACAGTGCCTGACTCTCTGAGTCGACTCAGCTTAAAACGATACTTCTCACCCCGTTCTAGACAGATCTGATGATCTATAGACGGCTGTCATTCTGGACAAAAAAAAACTTCCATGGAATTTCCATGGACGACAGGGGGGAATTTATTCACGTAAAATTTGAACAATCCACTAGACCCACCTCGACCCCTCGCAGAGAATCCCCGCACTAAGATGCCATCAAAACTTCATAACGACCGCTCGCTCTCTTGTGGAGAAAGGAATCCCTCAGTAAAAGACATCTGGCTTAGCTTCGCTAAAAATAATAGTCTCGACTTGATTTCGGTTAATTAGACTAATTAAATAGTTTAGTTTCCGGTTTGATGGGGTCGAATGCGATATTTGATATCTGTCAGGTGACTGGTCGGTCCATCTGTTTCACCATTAATTGGGTCGGTCCATCTGTCTCACCATTTGTTTGGTCAGTCCAACTGTCTCACCATTTGTTTGGTCGGTCAACTGTCTCACCATTTGTTTGGTCGGTCCATCTGTCTCACCATTTGTTTGGTCGGTCAACTGTCTCACCATTTGTTTGGTCAGTCCATCTGTCTCACCATTTGTTTGGTCGGTCCATCTGTCTCACCATTTGTTTGGTCGGTCAACTGTCTCACCATTTGTTTGGTCAGTCCATCTGTCTCACCATTTGTTTGGTTGGTCAACTGTCTCACCATTTGTTTGGTCGGTCCATCTGTCTCACCATTTGTTTGGTCGGTCAACTGTCTCACCATTTGTTTGGTCAGTCCATCTGTCTCACCATTTGTTTGGTCGGTCCATCTGTCTCACCATTTGTTTGGTCGGTCAACTGTCTCACCATTTGTTTGGTCAGTCCATCTGTCTCACCATTTGTTTGGTCAGTCCAACTGTCTCACCATTTGTTTGGTCGGTCAACTGTCTCACCATTTGTTTGGTCGGTCCATCTGTCTCACCATTTGTTTGGTCGGTCCATCTGTCTCACCATTTGTTTGGTCGGTCTATCTGTTTCACCATTTGTTTGGTCGGTCCACTGTCTCACCATTTGTTTGGTCGTTTCATCTGTCTCACCATTTATTTGGTCGGTCAACTGTCTTACCATTTGTTTGGTCAGTCCATCTGTCTCACCATTTGTTTGGTCGGTCAACTGTCTCACCATTTGTTTGGTCGGTCAACTGTCTCACCATTTGTTTGGTCGGTCAACTGTCTCACCATTTGTTTAGTCGGTCAATTGTCTCACCATTTGTTTGGTCGGTCCATCTGTCTCACCATTCGTTTGGTCGGTCAACTGTCTCACCATTTGTTTGGTCGGTCAACTGTCTCACCATTTGTTTGGTCGTTCAACTGTCTCACCATTTGTTTGGTCGGTCAACTGTCTCACCATTTGTTTGGTCGGTCCATCTGTCTCACCATTTGTTTGGTCGGTCAACTGTCTCACCATTTGTTGGTCGGTCAACTGTCTCACCATTTGTTTGGTCGGTCGACTGTCTCACCATTTGTTTAGTCGGTCAATTGTCTCACCATTTGTTTGGTCGGTCCATCTGTCTCACCATTCGTTTGGTCGGTCAACTGTCTCACCATTTGTTTGGTCGGTCAACTGTCTCACCATTTGTTTGGTCGTTCAACTGTCTCACCATTTGTTTGGTCGGTCAACTGTCTCACCATTTGTTTGGTCGGTCAACTGTCTCACCATTTGTTGGGTCGGTCAACTGTCTCACCATTTGTTTGGTCGGTCAACTGTCTCACCATTTGTTTGGTCGGTCAATTGTCTCACCATTTGTTTGGTCGGTCCATCTGTCTCACCATTTGTTTGGTCGGTCAACTGTCTCACCATTTGTTGGTCGGTCATCTGTCTCACCATTTGTTTGGTCGGTCAACTGTCTCACCATTTGTTTGGTCGGTCAACTGTCTCACCATTTGTTTGGTCGGTCAACTGTCTCACCATTTGTTTAGTCGGTCAATTGTCTCACCATTTGTTTGGTCGGTCCATCTGTCTCACCATTCGTTTGGTCGGTCAACTGTCTCACCATTTGTTTGGTCGGTCAACTGTCTCACCATTTGTTTGGTCTTTCAACTGTCTCACCATTTGTTTGGTCGGTCAACTGTCTCACCATTTGTTTGGTCGGTCAACTGTCTCACCATTTGTTTGGTCGGTCAACTGTCTCACCATTTGTTTGGTCGGTCAACTGTCTCACCATTTGTTTGGTCTGTCAACTGTCTCACCATTTGTTTGGTCGGTCAACTGTCTCACCATTTGTTTGGTCGGTCCATCTGTCTCACCATTTGTTTGGTCGGTCCATCTGTCTCACCATTTGTTTGGTCGGTCCATCTGTCTCACCATTTGTTTGGTCGGTCAACTGTCTCACCATTTGTTTGGTCAGTCAACTGTCTCACCATTTGTTTGGTCGGTCAACTGTCTCACCATTTGTTTGGTCGGTCAACTGTCTCACCATTTGTTTGGTCGGTCCATCTGTCTCACCATTTGTTTGGTCGGTCCATCTGTCTCACCACTTGTTTGGTCGGTCCACCTGTCTCACCATTTGTTTGGTCGGTCCACCTGTCTCACCAGTAATATGGTCAGTCACGTCTAACCACTAATGGTCGTCTAACGACCAAGGACCCTTGAACTAGATGATCTTAAAGTCATTTATAACTCCTTTATAGAAAGCCATTATTTAAGAAAACAGGCAGCTAAAATGTAACATTGACCAGACATAATGAGCTGTCAAGAGACATAGAGTTAATCTTGTGTTTCTGACAAGTCCATTTTTTTTTGTTTATTTTTGGGTTCACACGAACTATCTGTCTAAGTAGGTCACAAGGTTTGGTTAGTAGGTCACAGGTTGGGTTAGTAGGTTACAGGTCTGAACTAGTGCGGTCTTTAGGACTTTGTTGTGCACTGACCAAGAACAATAATTCATGTGTTGACTAGGGGGTGGGTGATAGAATAAGGGCAGCAACTCTCGTAACTAACAATCAGCAGAGTTCTAAGGGCGACAATCTACACAACGCCCACAGTTGTGTGCCAAGTGGCGACAACCCACGCTACTATCCCTGGTCGGAGAACCGGAAGTGGGAGTAGCGGCACGAGGTTTGATGGGACTGGGAACATTGACCTCTCAAGGTCAAGCTTCTTGTGGTACAGTAGCAGACGTTGAAGCGGTCAAGCAGACACTTTTGTCGTGCCTTGTTCATCTCAGACATGAACAAAAAAATCATCAACGATTGACCTACGTGCTGAAACTGACTTGTCTTAGTCTTGTTTACACCTTGTGGAGCATTGACCAATCATTATCTTCCACTTTGTCTGGGCTGTACATTGTGCTCTCTCCTGAGACTTCCCTGCGGTCTTGAGTTCTCAGACTCCCCCTCTAGATCTGTCTTTGGCGCCCCCTCTTTCACCTCCCCATGGTGCTCCACCTCAAGGTTCTGACGTGTCACGTGAGTACAGGTCTTACCTGGAGCTGTACCCACCACAGCGTCATTTCCTTCTCTTGATCAGCGCTGCTATAGGCTCCTTGTGGATAGAACTGCCTACTAATTCGGTCCAAATTTTAATTAATTCATAAAAAATTAATTAGGCGACCGATTAAGTCAAATTGGATGTCACGATGCGTTGTCTTCATGTCTTGACCCACGTACCAATTACGAACCGTATCTGTTAGTTAGAAGTGCCTGCAATTTCACACGGCCGTTTCGATCTAGACAGACGACAGACTGACGAGGAAGCAAGTTAAATAAAAGCTTTTAAAGAAATGACAATTTAATACAAATCACAATATACACATAATAAAAGAAAAAAGGTTGGTGGAGATTATGGTGAGTAAGTTGACGACACAACCACACTTTTATTTCATAGGGTTAATCAACATAGGTGATTAGAAGGTTAGAGTAGGACACCCTAAAACCCTGGAGTAATACGTCATAAAACCCCTGAGAAGGACACCTTGAAGTAGGACACCTTAAAACCTTGAAGTAGGACACCTTAAAACCTTAAATTAGGACACCGTAAAACACGGGGGTAGAACACCTTAAAACCTTGAAGTATGACACCACCTTAAAACTCTGAAGTAGGACACCTTAAAACCCTGAAGTATGACACCTTAAAACTCTGAAGTAGGACACCTTAAAACCCTGAAGTATGACACCTTAAAACTCTGAAGTAGGACACCTTAAAACCCTGAAGTAGGACACCTTAAAACCTTGGAGTAGGACAACCTAAAACCCTGAAGTAGGACACCTTAAAACCCTGAATTAGGACACCTTAAAACCCTGAATTAGGACACCTTAAAACCTTGAAGTAGGACACCTTAAAACCTTGAAGTAGGACACCTTAAAACCTTGAAGTAGGACACCTTAAAATCCTGAAGTAGGACACCTTAAAACCCTAAAGTAGGACACATTAAAACCCTGAAGAATGACACCTTAAAACCCTGAAGTAGCACACATTAAAACCCTGAAGTAAGACACCTTAAAACCTTGAATTAGGACACCACCTTAAAACCCCGGGAGTAGGACACCTTAAAACCCTGTAGTAGGACACCTTAAAACCTTCAAGTAGGACACCTTAAAACCTTGCTGTGTTTGGGAGCTGTTCAACTCTTGCTGAAGTAGGACACCTTAAAACCTCCCTGTGTCTAGAACTGTTCAACTCTTGCTGAAGTAGGACACCTTAAAACCTCCCTGTGTCTAGAACTGTTCAACTCTTGCTGAAGTAGGACACCTTAAAACCTCCCTGTGTCTGGGAACTGT